ACTTTTGTTTTTAAAAAAAAAAAAAAAAAAGTGAGGCATGCAGTAAACATTCTCCAAGTTATTTTTGGGGAGAACTCATAAATCAGCAGAAAAGAAAGTTATTTCATGCTTTTAAATGGTTGGACCTCAACATGGAGTAAAGCAGTCAGAGCACCAGTCCACTAACAACAATTTAAGTCTGCTACTAGTAGCAAAAGACAATACTGTTACCTTAAGTTCTTCAATTTCATTTTGCAAAAGACTCTCTTTTTGCACCATGTGTCTCCTTTGAGAATCTAAGCGAGACTGCATCTCATGCTTTGCTTCTTCTATTTGGCAGATCATCTCTGATCTGAAAAAAAGAAAATGCATTCTCCTTTATTAAGCCTGATAAATTTTACCTGCAGTTGGAAAAGCTGAAATAACCCCTTAGCTATTTTGAGAGTACTTCAGATGTGGAAAAACAAGAATCAGCAGCTTGTCAAATTTCTTCATGTTGAACAACCTTTAAGTAACTGTCTAATTCCTCCTCGATAAGTGGTGGTGTTTCCAGTATTGGTGCTAAACAAAATATTACAGATTTTGCAGAACTAGTAGTTTCTTCATCTTTGGCAGTAAGTCACTGAGCATTACACAGAGCACTAAATTCAATGTTAGGACCTAGTCTAAATTGGCAATTTGCTAAGAATTTAGCAATTCTTCCCTAAATGTATATGCATTGGGAAATAAGCAATAACATAAGATCAGAATAGAGTGATCTGATCAAAATCATAGCATTATTAAGTGGAGTTTACTCCATATTTGCTCTTGTTTTATCATAGGCATCAAAGCCCAATACTGATTTTATCCTGTAGACAATTTGTAAAAAAATCAGTGATCAAAGGGAGGTGGACAGTGTTTGTCTCTCCACAAATCTTTATTTTTTTCTGCCACCAGTTGTACTGTTTTGGTGTCACTTGGTTGGGCAGGGGGTTATATTACTTTACAAAACAGTACTGGTTTACAAGAATTTTTTTTTTTTAACACTTTCCTCCTGACTACAGTCGCATCCTCTTGACATAATTAGCTCGAGGAGGAAAAAACTTATTGTTGGCACAGATGAGAACTTACAGATGTGGCCAAAAGTATTGTTATCCCTTCTCTTTTCCCCAAAGAATCCCAATTTGCCATGAAGTAAGTTGAAACTGATACATGTATAGTAAGTGGCATCCACCATTCTTTATTCCATAGTCCACAGAGCAGACATTTTGCTTTTGATGTGTGACTTAACATATTCTTGTACTGTAAATAATAAAACAAATGAAAATGGCATGGGCATAATTATTGGTACCCCTAACCTAGTATTTCGTAGCACACTCTTTTGAGGGAATAACCATAATCAAGTGCTTTCTGTAGCTCTAAATAAGACTTCTACATTTCTCAACTGGCAATTTGTCCCACTCTTTTTGAGCAAAGTGCTCCAGTTGTGTTAGGTTTAATGAGTTCCTTCTCTCAACTCTGAGTTTCACCTCTTTCCATAGATGTTCTACTGGATTCAGATGAGGGCTCATAGCAGGCCGTTTCAGAACAGTCCAATGTTTCTTGGGTTCTCTTAGATGTATGTTTTGGGTCTTTATCTTGCTGGAGGACCCATGACCTGCAACTGAGATAGAGCTTTCTAACATGAGGCATTATGTTTCACTATAGAATGCCTTTATAATCTTCTGATTTCATTGTGCCCTGCATAGATTCAAGGCAACTGGTGCCGGAGGCAGCAAAGCAACTCCATACCACTAAGGAGCCTTCTCCATGTTTTACAATAGGGATTGTGTTCTTTTCTTTAAAAGCATCATTTTTTTCTCCTGTGAACATAACCAAAAAGCTCTAATTCTTTTTTCATCTGTCCAAAGGACATTCTTCCAGAAGGACTGTGGTTTGTCAACATGCATTTTAGCAAACCCCAGTCTGACTTTTTGTGTCTGTCTTTCAGAAGTGGGATCTTCTACCATGGAGGCCACTTTCAGTTAGACAGTGATGGATGGTGTGACTGGATATTGTTGTACTTTGGTCTTGGAGATCAGCCAGGATCTGTTTTGAAGTTTTTCTTGGTTCTTTCTCCACCATTCAAACTATCCTTCGGTTCAAGCGGGGGCAATTTTCTTTTTGTGGTCATGTCCAGGGAGGTTGGCAATGGTCCCATAGCCCTTAAACTTCTTGATAATATTAGCAACCTTGGTCACAAGAATATGAAGCTCTTTGGAGATGGTTTTACAGCCTTTACCTTTATCTTACTTGGTTATTACTTTTTTCCTTTCCTCCTCAGACAACTCTCTGCTTTTCTTTCTTTTATCCATGTTCACTGTGCTGCACACAATGATACAAAAGTCTATGCGAGTACTTTTCTCCATTCTAATAGGCTTGAATTTATTATGAGATTGAAGATACCTGTAATACTAATTAAACAGCCCACTTGAGAGATCACTAAAACCCAATAATGCCTTTTAACTTCTAAGGGGTACCAATAATTATGTCCATGCCATTTTCATTTGTTTTACTATTTAGAAGTATATGTTAAGTCATACATCAAAAGCAAAGTGTCTGTACTATGGAATAAAAAATGGTGGATGCCATTTACTTGTGTCAGTTTCAACTTGTTTCATGATAAATTGGGATTCTTTGGAAAAAAGTGGGGGTACCAATACTTTTGGCTGCATTTGTATACCTCAGAGCCAAAAGCAATATTTCTGGAAGAAAGAATTAAACCCACTTTCTCCATATAGTATTTAGTTGTGGTGGGGAGCTCAATAATTTCTATTTATAATAAAATATGATTTCTCAAGCTCCAAATGATTTGTGTAGTTTAGCCCTCTTCCCTAGGTGTTGTAGGCTTTAGTAATACCTATACAGCATAAACATTTGATTAACATAGTATGAAAATGTCTAGAGTATGTCTATGGTGCACAATTACTCATTTCTTACAGTTATATTCTGCCTTTTCTCTAAGTACTCAAGGCAGCTTACATAGAGATCTTCTTTCATTTAACCCCTACAATAGCAACCCACAAGACAGGCTGAGTTGAAAGAGAGTGACTTGTGCAGAGTAACCCAGTGAGTTTCCATGGCTGAGGATAGATTTGAATTGTAGTCCTAGCTAACACTTTAATTATTATACCCAGTCTTTTTTAAGGAGATGCATTTTTGCTAAAGAGAAACACATGAATTATTAGAATAGATAGGGGTTTAATCCATGAGGCTCTAACAGTTGTTTCTATGAAACAGAAATGAGAACCAATTATTTTCTTCCATTTGATTTAATATCTGATTCCTGCTAGTTCAAAATAAACAAAGATAAGATTTTAAAGGCCTACATAAACACAGTAATACCTCGGTTCATGAACGCTTCTGTTCACGAACAATTCGGTTAGTGAACAGCAGTGTCTGCAAAATTTTGCTTCCGTTCACGAACTCCGCATCAGGTGATGAACATGACCCACGGCCATCTTCCCTGCTCTAACGTGATCGTGGCTTTCTCTAGGCGAGATCACGGTTGCAGACAGACACTTGCTGTGAAGCTTTTTGGTGTCGCCTCAAGCAAGGTTAGTGTTCTCTCTCTTCATACT